CATTTCATTATTGACTGTCTAAGTTCTTTTGGTAGCAATCTTTCAATCAGAATATAAAGTCCGTTAATCTTAACATCATTCCATGGATTCTGAAGTTCAATACAAATCAATGGCATATTCTCTAAACATCTTCTATAAGGTCCATACACTTTACGTAGCTTTTGTTTTAGTTCAATAATTGGTCTTGATGAACGAAATGTATTAGCTTTTAATGAATAAGCCTTCAGTTCATCGAGTAGATCTTTTTCATCACTTATAAACTCATTACACATAGCAACTATCAGACTACAGTCAATGAAGTCATAACGATGATACATATGTATCTTTGCAAAAATGTCATCTAAAACATTATCTACTGTAACATGCTTCAAATTAAGTTGATGCTCAACCCAATATGATATTTTAGTTAATAGTTCATCATTATTAGTTACTTTTTTATGAAATATTAATTTTATTTCTGTCATAATGTGAGAGAATTTTGTTTGTAATTCATCCAAAGAATCTTGAACTGTTTGATCATCTTTTGGAAAGAATATTATTTCAGTGTCACCTATAAGCAATAATACATAAATAAGTGATACCATATAGGGGTTATATTTCACTGGAAATAAATTTCATGAATTTCGCGTTTTCATTAAATTCATGAAATTAAATTCCACAAAAGAGGTGTGGCACACTAGGAAAAATGGCTGCAGAAGGTAAGATTCGTGAAAATTTTATACCAACAAATGGCAAATCTGAACAAATACGTGAAATTTTATACCAGCAAAATAAAACCCCTATACGGTACTTAATTCATTAGCTTACCGTCAAAACATGATATTTTTGGTGATAATGATGACATTGTAGAGGTAGCATCACTGTATATGTGATCTTTAATATCTTGAGCTAGTTTATTCTGATTTATACTAGTTAGTGCATCAATGACATTTCTCCATGTTGCTTTAGGATTGACTGACAACCATTTTGAGTATAACACTAACTTTTTGTCTTCAATTTTTATCTGTTCTTGTTCAATTTTGAAAATTTCATGTTCTTTCATTCCAGCTAAACATAAACCAAATGGTTTCCAGTCAACAAGCGGTTCAAGCAATTGAAGTAATAGGAAAATATCAGGTCGATCATCAATCATAGGACCAGGATTGAGTTCAACATCTCCTGATAAGAGGAGGAGCATACGTAGACAAACAATTAAATAGAGATCATTGTAAATCAGGTTAGAACTGCTGCCTCCAGGTAAGACTACTGACTGGAGGTAATTTGTATCAGTAACTGTAACACCAGTAGTACATTGTACTTGGTAGCAGTTACCTAATAATAAAATACCAGTAAATATACAAGTACAAAGTTGCAATTGTTGTTTACCTGCTGGAGGAATCATCAAGATGTGTCTTAATAAAGAGAGAGAGTGAAAGAGGAGGAGGATGAGGAGAGACAGAGCTGTTTGTAGTTTAGATGTCTTCTCTCCTGATGTATTACTTCCTGACTTGCTGTCTACTGCAGCTTTGAATGAGTGAGAGTGGCAGCCATTAGCTGGTCTACTGGAGGCAGCTTGACAGTAGTTCCACAGTCCAATACTTGCTCTCCATTGAGAGACATCAATCATCTTTAAAGTTCTTGTATATGTAGACTCAGTAGTGTAGTAAGGGCACAGGAAGTAGACCCTAGGGCGGGGCGAGACTAGCTAGTTTAGCCATAGATATTTGAGTAAATCTATGATCACGAAAATGTTAATGAAAAGAAAATGTTAATGAAAAAAAAAATGAAATGAAAATGAAAATGTTAGAGTTAAATTATCTATGCATTTAGGCACTGCCCTAAATTCCATCCAATTATGCTTTGAAATGAATCCAATTAGATCTATGCGCTTTACTCAGGTATCAACTATCAAGTTACAGCTATGGTTACATGTAGACATCTGTTATAATTGTAGTAAAAAATTTTGTTATTGCAATATGCCAGAATTTTGAAATGTTTCCAAAGACTTTGAATACTCTAAGTCATTCCACTAGTACTTGTACGACCTGTCATGTTGAATTGCAATTTCATTAGTCTCGCAAGCCAGACCTTTCTCCAGCCTACAGTCACTTGACCCGAATGACTGTAGGTTGGGGAAAGGTCTGACTAGTGAGGCTATACAATTTCATGTGGTCAGGGTCAGAAATTTCTGACTCATGCTTCAATTATACTAGCATAATTTGGCTACCCTATAGCTATGCAAAGGAAGTTGTTATAACAACAATGTAGTAAAGTTAGTAACATATATCTGCTGAGTCAAGAGAATAAGAAAAGTTGTGC